TTAGCTTTAAAATTTTATGTGTACACATTTGTTTGTATTTTCATTTTTTTATTGCATAGTAACTTTTGGACTGATATTTTGTTTTTAATTTACCTATAAAGAACTTCTTTGGTACTCTTTGCTTTCTGTGTTGTCATATATTTACTTAATGTGTTTGTTTCTGATTTTTTTTCCCCTCCTTTTTAGATATAAACAAGTTTTGAGTTCAGTTGAATAATATACCACTTCAAAGCATTTTGCATTCCTTGTGATTTTGCTGCCTTTTTAGTTCATTCAGCTTTATATTTGGCCTTTCTCAATTTGATAGTATCTGTAGAAACATTACTGATTTGAATGGAATGATAAGTATCTTGATGGGCTTTGTTAATGACACTGCTTTGCAAGGTCAGTCATATCAACAGTGTAGAGAAACAGTGGAAGTAAACTGTATGGATTACAAGGGTATGCAAAAAATATAATGGGATAGAGTGGAATTTTTTGAAAATTAAGGATAACAGCTGACAAAACAAGTTGGAAGTGATTGTGAGATCAGAGCAGTGACTCTTAATATGAGTTTGCCATATGTATGGATAACAATTTTTCTGTATGTATTTCAATATATGTAAGGTAATTAAAATGCAAATTATGATGATTTGGAGGTTTGCAGTTCATAATAAAATCTTTTAAGAACCATTTATTTTTTAAACCCTCCATAAATTAGATCAGCTGTTATCCAAAAACATTGGTGCCAGTGTGCCACCATACTGATCTCAAGACAATTTTATTAAAACCTGTTTTTTTACAAAACCAGTTTGAACAGTGTTGACGTAAGGCAGGGAAGATTCTACATTTCCTTGCAGGTGAGAAGAACAAAAACTTTGTTTGCAAATTTATGTGAACAATCTGCAGCTACTTCCTAGTGCTGAACCTGAGGGCTCGGTGGTCTTTTGAGTAGTGTCCGGAGTAGAACACTGTCATCTCACTTTGTCATTTGTGGAGCAGTGTGCTAAAAGCTAAGGTAAAATCACCACTGCTCTTGTTTTGACTTGTGAGATGAGACGTATGTTCATGTACCAACACTGTGCTGTTTACAATTGCTTTTTTGAAATAATTGAGACTTGAAAAGACCTCATCACAAGTCAGTTTCTTTAATTGTGGTGGGAGCTTTTATCTGGAAGACTTTCAATCTCTTTTACAATAGAAGCCTCCTAATTCCAGTTTATTCTTTGTCCAGTAATACATTCCAAAAGGGAAACACATTTGTTTGGATATAAACAATAAAGAATGGTGTATGGAAAGTGGCATGTCCCTATGGACGTTTTCTCACAGGACTGTAATTCTGCACCAAATCTCTGAAGAATTGTGTCACCACTGTACTTAAGGAGATAACAACAATAACCATTAAAACTAAAGTATTGCCATCTATTGTTAGGCTCTTTTTCCTGTTTTGATCCATTATGCTCTTTCAAGACCATAAATGGTTTCTTTTCCTTCAGCATTTCTTCAAAGATACTGCCTAAATATTTATATAGGCAGCGTATTGATTAAGATAACATGGATGTCCTTATGAGTCCCATTCATGACAGTTATTTATGAAAACATACTTCTTAGCCCAACATTTTCATTTCTCTCCCACCAAGATCTGTTAATTGCTTTATTCCCACTTTCTGCTGATACAGGAAAGTAAATACTGTTATCCATGCATGTTACTTGTAAAGAAACCATTATCAACTACATCTCTTTTTGCAGATACTTCAAGTTTTTGCTCCAGTTGTTTGTTGCTATTTACCTTGCTCTTTTTGCAAATGTTCTTTAGACAGTGCAGCCTCAAGTGTATTTCTCATCAGGGATTTGTCTCTTCATTTTTATATCTGATCTTAAGTGTGAGGTTTCTAACTCTTACTGTTTCTGTTGTTTCTATAGTAACTAGATAGGTGAAGATGCAGCATCATCACTTTGCTTCACAAATGGTGTTTTGTGTTCTCAGCAAAGGGGGAGTTTGAGGAAAATAAGCTGTTAATTGGGATGTAACTGGTTCAGAAGTGTAATACTTGTTAAGTTACCTTTACCCTTTATTAAGGAGTTATTTAATGATTTTAAGCAAGGCATTGCAAACTTTAATAAAATTCTGTCCTCTCAGAGACAGATATGTGTCAGGTTTTGGTCTCTTAGCTGCTTGGGCCTTCGTGTTTTTTTCCTCCTAAAATCCCATTTTCTTCATAATATGAACAGCAGTAGGATTTGTTTCAGGAACTAGACAGGTGCTTATAACCTGCATGTAGCCTGAACATACATGCAGTGAAGAGCTTTTTAATTTATCAGATTCCTACTTTTTAAATCTGATTTTTGCAGCTGTATAGTAACTGTATTATATTAGACTGTAGTTCTATAGTAGACCATTAAGTGTTGATCTCAGAGTAAATGTTTTGATACTGAAACTACTATATATCCAGAGATTAGACTAACATGTTCTCCCTTCTCCAAAAAGCAGTTGTTTGCATTCCCTTTAGCAGTTCTCTCTCTTACCTCATGATGGAAACATTAATTGCCTACTTCCTTGAGGATTTCTTATGCCAGATTAATCCCTCTGAAATAACCCAAGGTCTTTCCTCCATACCTGAGCACCTGAAGTTCTGCTACTCTGCCTTGGTGCCCGATGTTCAGCCAAGCATTCCTGATCCATGAGGGTTAGGTTGCTCTTAGCATGGCTTGTGTATCATGAGGAATGTGGGGGAGGTGAGGAGTTCTACTTTACAGTGTGTAGCCTACTATTATGTAGTAGGTAACCACACACAAAAAATAACCGAAGTTTTAAGCTTCCCTGAAGCTGTTTATTTTTATTAAGTAAAAATTCTTGGGTACACGAGGTGGATAATGTTTGTCTCATCTCAGAAGGATAGATCCTGTCAGGTTAGTGTTATTCTTAAGTGGTTCAGTGTACATCCAGTTGAAAATGCTTTCCTAACCAGAACAGCTCTGATTTGCAAGGGGAATTTGGAAAGTTCTTACCTTTTTAGCAGCTGATAATCAAGTGGTTGATTTGCTCTCTTGGAAAATAAGGAGTTCAGATGTTTTCTCCTTCTGACTTAAGGAACAAGTTTGAACCAAGACATCTCACCTTGCAGGAAGCTGCCATGGTGCAAGCTGTTATTGAGACAACAGCCTGTTGCATCAGCGAGGATCCTGCAGGCATCAGGATGCCATCCATAATATGCATGTCATCTCCACATTGGTGGTGGTATCTCAGGAGAAGCACTTGCTCTTTTGGAAATAAGACCAAGTTTTCAATTGTTTCCAACTTTATTCCTTCTCTGTGTTCCCTCTCTCTTTCCCTTGCCATGATTCTCTCAGATGGACAGATTCACAAGAACTAATGAACATGAAATCTGGTAAGTTTATAAATCAACGTGCTTCTCTGCTGGCTTTCTGAGCAGGGTTCTGACCCTTGGTGGATTACGTATTTAAATTTAAAATGGAACAACATCTCTTCAAAACATTCTGATGTAAAAATACATTCATGGACAAATCCCTTTCCACAGATTTTAGTCTAGTGTATCCACTGTATGTATAGGGCCATTAAGTTGCTTATGGATTCACAGTGTCTTATTGAGGCTGAGGGAGCTGAGACTGTTCAGCCTCAAGAGGAGAAGGTTTAGAGAGGATCTTGTCAATGTGTATGCATACCTGATAAGCAGGAGTAAAGAAAACTGAGCTGGTCTCTTCTCAGTGCTATCCAGTGACAGTTTGAGAGGCAATAGGTGTAAATCAGATGTATGAATAAATTGTTTTTCACTGTGAGGCTGGTCAAACACTGGGATGGTGTTGAGAATTATCCTGAGATTAAAAAAGGAGGAATAAAAGAAGCAATGGCAAAGATGAGGAGAGAGAGGCTGTGACTGGAGCCAGGGAAGAAGCACTGTCTAGCACTGGGGTGAGGTGGAAGGGTTTTTTATTTGGTTGGTTTTCCTTTTAAAAAACGCAAAGGATCTGTAATTTTGAGCCAAATTAAGTTTGTGTGTCTTATTTCAGGTAAATAGTGGCAAGTGTTACAAATTTAGAAATTGAGATTATTATGTTGGCTTTCTGGACATCTCTTCTAGATTCTTGAACGACTCCTTCTCGAGCAGACCTCTTCAGGCATTAGTGATTTGAAATATAATTAATGTTCAGATGAACCTTCCAAAAATTCTGCTTTGAATGCATCTCTTCATTCAAATCAATATTTTCAAACTTGTTTACTTTTTTACAGCTGTTAACACAATAGGGGAAAAGGTTCCAAGGAATGACTATTGATGTCTGAGGGAACCTAGGTCCTAATTGCAGAACAATTGCTGTGATGTCATGTGCAGATTTTGTATGGTGTTCACAAGAGGCGTGTGAACAACTTCAGATTGCATAAAATGCCTATAAAGTTTTGTTCTACTGTAAAGCTGCTGTCTACACTGTCAAAAGCTTGTGGTTGTAGCTGTCTGTACATACTTCTGTTTTAAGTGAATTCTCATAGCATGAAATCAACTTTGTGGAAAAAAGTACTTTTGCCAATGTGATTTTAATCAATCATAAACCAAAGCCAAGCACAGCTCAAAAAATCTAATTATATATGATGATAACAAAAGCAATTCTTATCTGTGTATTTGAATACCAAGATTTGGCATGATTTTAAATATGTTATACGAGCAAAAGTAGTTCTTGCCAGATCACTGATGTGTAGCATAACTGTTGTCCTCATATAAAGTTTTCCGGTAGAAGAAAATCTCCCCAGTGAATGTGACCATTCTGGTAAAAATGGGAATGCAAACTTAGTTAAAGATTATATTTTTTTACTGTGAAATGTCAAAGCACTTTACTATTTTTCTAAATTGTTAACTAGGGATAAAAACTAAATGTCATGAAAACATAAAGATATGGTAATTTTAGACTTCTAAGGGTGTTCATAGAAATGTTTTCGTTACAGAATAAATGTATTCTTGAAGATAATCATCAAAGACTGGTGAACTAAATGCCTGCTTTTTGTTTTCCAGAAACCAGCAAATATTCTGGTAATGGGTGAAGGTCCTGAAAGAGGAAGAGTCAAAATAGGTAAACATTTTGAAACAAATTCATTGCACAGCTAAGGAATTACTTAAAAATGCATCTTCAGTGCAAGATGGAAACAAATCTTGGTTGTTCTTGGAGCATATGTATGCACAATATCTAGTTCAATTTTAAGTCTTATTCATTGAGTTTACAGGCTTGAGAGAGTCCAAACATAGATAAAAGACAAGAGAAAAGCATCTGTAGTAAACAAGAAAGTAATAACCACGTAGAACAATGACTATAGCCAGGGTTCTTTTCACTCCTGCTGTGATTAGTTAGTACAACTTTGTTGTTTATGTATTATATTTGTTCTTAATTATTTGTGTATAAATAACATCAATGCATGTGTTTGTAGAGGTCCAAAGGTTTGCTATGCAAAAGGGTATTTGGCATCAAGGTGGGAAACACATGTAATTGTAATGGTCTTTATCCAAAATGTAGTTTCCTCTTCAGATCATAAGCCTGAGTCACGTGGATGTAAAGTTTTTAATAAAGCATGTGGCAGTCATTGAGAAAGTAACGTACTGGAGCCTCTTTTCTATTAATTGACTTCTGTATTTTGAAAATATTCAGCTGATCATTTTTGATACATATGCTTGTATTATGGGTATGGGTAACTGCAAGAAAATTATGCTCTGCATTTTATAACTTTGGAGACAAAGATTTAAGTGAAGTTGTGTAAAAGATAAGTTTCAGACTTGGATTAAAATGTGTGGCTTTGAATGTAGATCCAAATTTGTATTTTCCTGTCTACCATTTCTTAAGGTTACTTACAAGGTTGTTTCTAGAGGGAATTTTTGAGTTATGTAATGCTTGCATTTAAAATATGCTTCTGCAACAGTGAACCTCGCTGATTTCATTGGTTACAGTTAAAAACTTTTTCCTGCATCTGGAGGTTGTTCCTCCAAATTATGTCTCAGGTACACATACAAAAATAGTGCAAAATAATCTACATTGCAATCATTTTGGTTTTGCACTGTGGGTGAATATTTAACAGTCACAAAGGCTCACAGTTCTGTAAACATATATAAAAATGAAAGAGAAAATGTACATTACAAATCTATTATTGACTCCAGTTAAACAGGTTTCTGTTACAGTTCTGTTTAAATTGATAGGCATCTGTGTTATGTAAAGTTTTACAATACCATGATGAAAACACTTAAAAGTCCAACATCATCCTTCATAGTCTTATAAATAAAGTAAATGAATTTAACCTTAGATCAATTCGGCCCAGTATTGTTATGAGTAACCTGTTGCTTTCTTAGAAACTTTGATTTGTAAGTTTTAATGTTTTTTTGAGCTTGTGTTATTAATTGCTTTTAGGCAATACTTTTAAATTCTGATTTCTTTGTATTAAAATTTTACATGTTCTCCCCCTGCTGCTGCCCCCAGCTGATATGGGTTTTGCAAGATTGTTCAACTCACCTTTGAAGCCATTGGCAGATTTGGATCCAGTTGTGGTGACATTCTGGTACAGAGCTCCAGAGCTGTTACTTGGAGCCAGACATTACACAAAGGCTATTGGTATGTTCATCTGTAAGAGAGTTTTTGTTTTAAGTTTTGTAAAGGAGGGTAGCCTTGTAGTAGATCCAGTGATCAACTAACCAGCTGGTTTTTTTTTCCTGAAGTAGCAGCAGATGTCATATGCTCCAATGTGTAAAACATTAATCCAGATTGAAACTTTGAGGACTGTGCTTTTATTTTTCAATATAAGTTAAGGTTAGTGTTAGACATTTTAAGTTTTCTCATTCTGTTTTTAAAATAAAAATATTCTTTGCATTGCTTTATATGGTTTTCTGACATGGGTTTAGAAATCTTGTAATTGTGTAAGCCTTCAAAAGGGAAGGCTGTTTAAGTGGTGTTCTTCTAGGGTGCTTCATGTCCAGGTGCTTTTATGGAGTGTGTCAGCATAATGAGAAGCGCTGTCTCCTGCACTGTCCACAATCTTCAGATCAGTCACTCCTGACAACTTAGGAAGCTGGAAGTTCAGGAAATGCTGGTGGCCAGGCTCTTCCAGCTTAGTAAGTTCTATAAGCACAGTCAACTTTAATGCCTAGCTGTTTAGAGAATGAAGACACTGAGATGCACAGGAACCATCCTGCCTGCGTGATTAGGTTGTATATTGAAGAGAAATACAAAGGAAATGGTATGCCTTTGTTAATGGGGTTAAATCAGTCGTGTGTACAGAGGTGGCTTATTTGGCAGTTGCAGGCTTTTTCCTGTTAGAGAAGCTCTTGGAGATGCTATGTGGGCCTTTGTTCAAAGACTTATGTAACATGTGTGTTACACTAGCATCTCAGTTGGTGGACCAACATATCCCCAACCAGTTCTTCCTTCTTCCTGAGTAACTGATCTTGGAGATGACACATGTAATATCTGCATAAAGAAATTTAGCCCAATATGCTCCAGAAATCTTTACATGGTCCCTGAGGCAATACTATTTGTGTCCTCTTTCTTCATGATGCTGCAGAATCTGTTCGCCTCCTCCCATGGCTCCTTTTGTTGGTGACTCAGTGCCTCAATCAGAGGGTTGTCTGTTGTAAGGCCCTTGTCACCCTGAATTGTGAGTTCTGGGTGGTAGCACCCACCGTCTGGAGCTCTGTCTCAGTTGAGGCTTCTGATTTCCTAGGATGTCTTCCTAGGGTGCTGGGGATGGAGCCTTGCAGTGTTCCCCCTTCATGGTTATGGCACAATCCCATGTTGTCTGAAGCAGATTCTTAAGGCCTGCTTTTCATCTGCCACCATGTAAACAGGGCTGCTAACTTCTAAAGTCTCTGTTTGCTGCACCCTGTAGTGAGTAAAAACAGTTACTAGAAGTGTTCAAAGAAAATGCCAACAGTATTACTTTAAACGTCTGTAAATTGGGTGCTTGAACTGCCCTGACTGTTGATTTTGTAAAGCACAAGTGAGTGGACCAGATTACTGACCTGTGTGTGTGGTATTGGGGAGTTACCTTAACTGACAGTTACGTATTTTTGATAGATAGTATATTGTTTGCAGATTTAGGTGACTGATATGTACCATTATCTCAGGATATCTCTTTGAAGAATGAATTAGTATAATGCTATTGTTTGTTTAATTATGTCATAAATTACTTGATTCTTGCCTTGAGGGATCTGTAGTCTACAGTACAACACAGAGAAGGAGTCCCTATGAAACTTTAGAGGGTGATCTCTAGGGAGATCTGGTTTTGCTAGTAGTTTATTATTTCTGAGGCTTTTATTTCTTGTATCTGACGCACACCAGTGAATCCCCAGGAGGGGTGCAAATGGGTCATATAATACCTGGTGTGCAGTGTGAGTGCTGAGGGCACTCAAAATGGTTTGGACAGCAAACTAAAAATTACAGAAATGAAAACAAGGAAAGCTGGAAGGTAAGATTTGTAGGCTGACTGAAGCATTAGAAGAGCATGTGAATGAAAAGAATAAAATTGCATGGAGGTGATCTATGTGCAGCTTTAAGGCAAAGGGAGGAAGCGGTAACAAAATGACAGCAGTGATTTTTTGCAGTTTATGAGTCCAGACTTGTGTTTTGCTTCTAGCATTATATGCACTTAAAAGAAGGTAATCTTAATGAGCTAAGCATGCTAGTGAGAGTTTAACTTGAATGCTGATGTTTTTGGCAAAGGATGCAACTCTTAAAGCTCTCTCTCTCAAATCTCCGTGCAAGAAATAGAATTGTAACATCTCTTAATATTACATAAATCTCAGGAGCCTTAATGCATTGCTTTTAATAATAACTCATAAATTATATAAGATTCTCATTTAACTGTTCTTCAGTTGGAAATAATAATTTAGAAAAAAGGTGATTAGATACAACAATTTATGAAAAAGGACAGGACATGTTATTTGGTGTAGCTGCTGATTTTCCATAGTTGTTTTCTCATGCCTTTTATATAGTGTATAATTTTACATAATTTTAAAATATCAATAAAATCAGGCTAAAAGCAATATCATGCCAGCTTTAGGCTATTCTCTTACAATTTTGTCATCATGAGAAATATTTTTGTTTGCATGGACTAGAAGTGCATTGTCATCAGTTCCCTACTGCAGCACGCTGGATATTGTCCAACAATTGCTGCATAATTCAGATGTTTGCTTAGGTTTTTACTGGCTTAGTCTTGATTTTATTTTATTTTCAATGTATTTTATATATTCTGTATGTAGTATGCTCTTCCCTATCTTAGCTTCACATGTAATTTTAATTATTAGCAATGTATTCTTAATATCCTGGACACTGTCTACTATAGTGTCCATTTTGGTTTTGTTCTTCTAATAAAGCCTTGCGTGCATGTAAAATAATTCTCATACATGATCAAAGAATGAAATTAGAATTTGATTGTTCAGGATTTTTGTCCTTGTTTTTTGGACTTGATCTTAGTTACATTTTGTGGGTTTAACTTTAAGAAAAAATTGGACTTAAACACGGTCTGTTTAGAAAGAGCTGTGTATTATGCAAAACAATATATATTTCGTTAATTTAGAGGTAGCTTTTCAGTGACATTTTCCCCTTTATGTAATTTGTCCCTTAATATTAATGAAATAGTCGACTCTTCATTCATTTGCTTGCAGAACAAGTAGTTGTTCATCACATCTGTAACATAATTTTTTAAAGAGATACAGGAGTTAGGAAAATAATGTTGGTGAAAACCAGAAATAGCTTTTACTTTCTGCATGTTTAAAGGATAGTAAAAAGCCCATGTTAGGGTTTCATGGGGAATAACATTTAGTTTCCTGAACTGTGAACATTTACAATATAAGCCATCGTTGTTAATGAAGTTTCCTATATAATCTGCTACCATAGTTACAAGCAACTAACTTACCAGATAAATACAAATTGGGAAAATGGTGTTGTAGAAGCCAGAGGTCACTCTACATTCTGTTACCACAATATAAATATCTACTAAATTCAGTGTGGCCTGTGGAAGTTGGTCCGCATTTCCAGTACCATAAATTAAAAGCAGAATCTGTTTCCGTGTGTTCATCAAATCCTAATACTTTTGCAAAGAAGTAAAACATGCAAATAAAAGTAACCTGAACTGCAAAAATACAAAATGCTTGCTGTCATGGACACATTGATAAAATTACTGAACTTTTAGAACGTCTCCAGCACAGAAGAAAATGCCTTTATACTCAAAATACTAAAGAAACAAGGTTGAAGTATGTGGCAAGGTACAGTGCTCCTTTCATTTGTAGGCAAAGACTTCAGTGCTATAATTTTAAGGAAAGTAAAGGAAATGGCTGTGGTAAAATGAAGGAAAAGGTAAGCTCGCTTTCACCTTGAAAGGAGACATTAATCAGGTTTTTATTGTTATTTTTCACTCTGGGAACCTCAAAATAGGAAGGGATATTTTAGCAAGGAACTGGTAAGGACTAGTAAGAACTCCATTATAGGTTAAGAAGGCACGTGGCAGTCTTTTCTATGATTCATTCTGGGGCAACTTGTAGCATGATATCAAGGCATAATTAAGGCTTGTTTTTTATCAAGTTGCAGCTTGTACAGTTAGTACTGCTATCAAACAAGAATGTTATCTTACCTCTCTTTGCCACTTGCATTAATTAAAGAAAAAGTATATTTGATTAGTGGCATTGGATGGCTTATAGAATTCTAGACGGGTGGTTTTTGTTGTTGAAAAAGCTCCTCAGAATGATCATTCAACCACCCGTTAAGCAGGGCTAAAGCATTTTCCTGCACTGGAAAAGGATGGAGTTATTTAGTGTGAAAAATAAGTCTGGGAACCTGAGAAATCTGTATTGCTTAGTTACCTTTCCTTACTTGTCTAGTTTGTAAGTCAGCAGGAATGTCAGAAATGGCCATGTGGCAACTGCATTTACCAGCCTGAACAAGATATAGGTAAAGAGAAACTGTAACTCAAAACTTGGGCAGCACGCTGCCACCTCATTCTATTTCCAGACTAACATATGGTTATGGAAGCTGGAAACATGTGAAAGGTATAAGCAGATATCAAAATGCCTTTGAAAGCAAATGTCACAGGAAAATATTAGGTATCTCAGAGGGAATGAATTTATAATGAATGCTGGGATACATCAGAGTTTCAACAGCTCCATTTGACTTCATGCAGGAAAAAAATAGGGGAAATTTCATAGAGTGTATTATGTAGGATTTAGGATGGAAATATGCGCATATGTGTTCCATATTGCCTATGCAGAGAGCCCTACACGGTCCGAGTGCATCAGATGTCCTTGCTGTATGCACACAGATTGTTGGCACACTGGATGGGCTGTAGGCCTCTGGAAATCTTGGACCAATGCCTAAAGCTCTTCTGGTCTCTTGTTCTTGGAGGGTTGGGAAGAAGGAGTTAAAAACTTAGACCTATCTGGAAAATCTGGTAAACCAGTAATTATAAAAGAAGCCAACCAGAAGATTGAAAAGTCTTCAGGAAAGATGTACGGGGAGGTACCTACCTGGTACCTACCTGTGGAGCCATGGGAATGTGGGCACTGGTTTTAAACATTTATGAGCGATAATTAAGAAGAGCAGATCTATAGTCAGTCAGCTTCTGT